CGTACGTACGTACCGTACGTACCGTACGTACGTACGTACGTACGTACGTACGTACGTACGTACGTACGTACGTACGTACGTACGTACGTCTCGTACTCTCTACTCTCTACTCTCTCTCTCTCTCTCTCTCTCTCTCTCTCTCTCTCTCTCTCTCTCTCTCTCTCTCTCTCTCTCTCTCTAGGTGGCACACCCAAGCTAAGGTTAGCTTATCGTGGTTTGATTTTTGGGTAGCATAGGGGAGGATCCCCTTGCAAGGAGATCTCTCCCTCTCTCTTTGATATATCTCTCATCTCTCAAAAGATCAAGCCAAAGGGGTTTGAGCAAAACTAAGGCATTGAGGCCTTAGGAAGTTGGTTCTAGATTTAGATCCATGGCTCCAAAGATAGAACCAAAAGGGCTTGATGAAGACTAAGGCATTAAGGCCCTAGGTAGTTGGTTTTAGATCGAGATCTATATGCCATTGGGAGAGTTTTTACCATATGTATGAGAATCAAAAGACTGATCATAGATCTCGAGCATCATAGGCAGGATGGGGTATACTAAGCCCGATTAAGGTAATCTTCAGAAAGTTTTCTTATTTAAATCTTTGTTTGTGATTTGATCTTCTCTTCCCACAAAGAAATGAGTTAAGTTTTGATTTAAGAAATTATATTCAATATTGGTAGCAAGTAATAACCGTATTTCTTTTCTTTTATTCATTTGTTTCAAGAGTTATTTGTTTTTAATTGGACATTGTGAGTGATCTTGTCAATGTAAGAATAAGAAAAATAAGAAAACCCTTAATTTATATACAACGTGATTGATCTTATAATCCAGCTTTCATTGGTATCAGAGCTAAATATACTTGTTTCCTTATTTATTTTATTTCACTATTTTTGGTGTGTTGGGAATGAGATACAAAAAATTCAATAACTTTTGCGATAAGTGATGCACGTCTGAAAGAATTATTAGCACGTTCAAATGCCGAGAAGGCACTTTGCAGAATCGGGTAATCTTGTTATTTTTTGGAGCACTGAAATCAATGAAGGGTGGCAATTCGTAACTTGCAAAATCCAGGAACTATCTATATGTTTCCATGAATTTTTCCAACATCATATGATTTTATTTTTAGCTAAAATTTGACTGTCACTTATCAAATTGAGTTTAATTTAAAAAAAAAATACTTTCATGAAGAAAATCTTGTGGTTTGAAAGATATGATCAATTTATTGAAGGGTGCGCAAGTGTTGTTTTCTACAACAAAACAATCTCAATGACTTGAAAGTCATAATTTTATTTTCATTTGTAACAGAATGTTTTAAAGCCCACACTAGGTTTTTAAACTTCCATTTTGAATCTAATTTCTAATAAAATTTACTTAAGAGAGAAATATCTATAGGAAGAGAGGAATAAAAATTTTGGATTGAAGAGATGTCATACTGAATTTTTAGCAGTTTGGTGAGTTCTTCATTGAGACAAGAATAACTATATTTATCAAGCCTACTTAACATAGAGATATGAGACTTGTGGAAATATATGTGTTACCATTATGTGTGTACTTTCAACCAAAATAAGTTTGAAAGGGAAACGATGTGAGGCCAGTGAGAAAAAATAAATTTACTACATAGTGTTCATCATGGAATTCTGCAGTATGATATATTTTGTGATGTGAATATCACTAATTTATTTATTTGAAGGAAAATATTATTTGGGAATCACACCATTATGCTATGCTTTGCTTTTGAGTTTATTTTTCAAAAAAAAATTTAGGTAGAAGTCCTTTGTGGATTGAGACGAACAATTATTTTATTGAAATGTGCGCAACTAATTTCTGCTGTGAAAACTATATTGTGACGTGAATGTCACTAAATTGAAGACTCACTAAATTGTGTGATTTAGGGATGAAAATAAGAATTATTTTATACTTTTTAGTCCATTTCAATAGTCAAAATGTTTCGGATATAAACTCCTCATGAGTTGAAAGATATCGTATTTGTATCAAGGGATGTTCATTTTCTATTTTGCAGTAAATTAAAAGATGTGGCATGTTAAGGCACATCTTTGTACTCCTCATAATTGAAGCACTTTTAGAAGTTTTATAATATGTTATGAGTATGGTTTATAACAGTAAAACTTCAGAGATAAGTAATACAAGGTCGATAAGATATGACGCTCTATTTGAATAAGTAAATTTGGGAATTGCATAATATAGAAGAAATACAATGCATGTGAAAGCACTTAGGTTTCTTCACAATGAAGGGATATGTAGAAATACTTGGTGGCAATATAAAACTCTAAAGATCAGTGAGAAAATTAAATTTGTGATCTTTGAAATGATGGAATGAAGAAAAATATTTTTTATATATGTCTGGAAGTATCCAAAAGGTCGAAGAGGTGGATGCTTCATCAATGTATTAAAGATGATGACCAAGTGCTTCTTCATCATTTGTGTGCTCTTCTGAGTTCACAAAAGCTTATCAGTAAGTAAAAGTAAAGAATCATAAAAGCCCAGGTAGCACACTACATGGTTTTGAGGTAAAAAATCTATACAACTTTACATGGTAAGGTTATATAGGGAAAGATATTCCAATAACATTTTATTTTATGATAATATTTTGCCTATTTGTTTATGAATATGTGTGTAGTGTAAGGACATTAAGTGAGAGGTGCTAATAAATTTGAAAGAGTCGTTTTTTAATACCTTGAGTTTTTTTGTGACTCCTTGTGATTGAGTATGAACTACTTAAGGAAGTGATACACATAAAGAGCCTAAGTATGAAGTGATCAAGGATTATGAGCCTAAGTATGAAACACGAGAGATGAGTGTGTCTCATTCAAATATATAAGTATGAAGGGAGTATTCTGATGGAACCCGATCTTAGTGACCATTCTTTCAATAATGTCCAGTAATATGATGTGTTGTATGTAATGACGATCTTATGATAAAGTCTCCATATTTGCCAATAAGAAGTATTTTTGTCAGGTTTTGATAACCATTCATTAGTAATGCTATATTTTTTATAAAATTATAAGATGGACTTTATGATTTGTTTTGTGGCTATAAACATGACTTGGTAAGTACTTAATGGTGAATGTGGTAAAAACGATTTACGAAGATTAAGCATGTATTTTTAAAATCAAATTGGATCATTTGTGAAAAACCTTAGGTCTATGTATATGGTTTTGAGAAAACCCCATATTCTTGCGAGATCCACTAAGTATTTAAGAAAAATATGCTATTTGCCAACTATTTGTGAAAGTATACTGAATCAAGAGTTTTTTATACAAGGAAAAACATTGGGTCTTGAAAGTATTTTTGCACATGTGAAAAAGAATCATTAATCTATGCAATGTTTTCTAATACTCACTTGTCTTAACTCATGTTTTCATAGTACCAATTACGTGACCTAGTTTTGAGTTCTTTAGAATCCTCGATTACCTAAGACCATAAACCATAGGGCATGTCAAAGGATGGTCATCTTACTAGGTCTTTGGACATGTGCTGTTTGGATTAGACAAATTGGTTTGTATGGGTTTATAACCAAGAGACTAGTGTGGTTGAACCTTTATGGTTCAAAAAATAGTTTTACAAAACCAAACGGGGATCGAGTTATTGTTTAGTATGAAACTTGCTATACTATCTCATGACACAACCATGAGAATGCTGAGATAATAGTTCCTATGTCTTATGTTTGAGTGGGAGCTATTAACAATCCCATGATCCTTGTCCATAAAGGTTCAGCATTCTCATGCTCCTTATGGTAATGATAGATGTTTGCATGTATTGTTAGATGTGCATGCTCAACAGTGAACCCAGAATATGTGATTTACTTTTAAAAAATGCATCATATTATGCGTTTTAATAGGACATGCTTGGAAATAAAGTCAGCCCTGCCAGAGCAAAAATAGGCCGAGGCAGGGACAAAAGTATTTGGGATTGTGCCAACGCCATGGTCCTTGAGCCCATGTAGGGCTAGGCTTGGCCTTGGCCATGGCCATTTCAAGGCCAACTCTCTACGGTTCAAGATTATCCTACAACCAAACCTGGCCAACCGATGCCCAGTCCGTTGCTATGATTGGCAATGGTATGAGTGGCCCCGCCTAGCCTGGCATTGAAAAACTAGAGCCTGGTGCACACAATGTGGCGTGAGGGATGGGTCACCAAGGCCCTTAGGCTAGGGTGGGCAGGGACTAGGCCAAGTTACGGCTGATCTCTTTTAGCCCAACCAATCCTTTTCTTTTTCTCTCTGTTTTTTTATTTATTTTCTTTTGAATAGATTAGGTCTGGCCCATCCTAAACCGCACCTGGGCCAGGGACTTTTTGACCCGGGTCGGCCCAATAAGGAACATGGCTGGGCTTGAGCCCCTCCTGGCCCAGCCCAGGCCTTGCTCGTTGGCAGCCCCATCTATGGCCAATACTATTTTTTACAATGAAGACCCATGGCTGGTACCAATGCAACATTTAGCAGTTATGTTTAGGCTGAGAAGAGGAAAAACATGGAAATTACATTAAAGAGGAGTAAGAAACATGGACGTTCCTGAGATTGAAATAGAAACATGGAAGTTCTCTTAACCTAAAAACAAGAAACAGATTATTTTATAAATGGCTTACAAATGAGAAACACATCTCATGAAAAGAAAATGTGGTTTCCCAACAAACAACTATGCTCGAGTCAGCTGTTGGAAGCTCGAGGAGTACACTTATGACGACTACATCGTAAGAACCTCTTGTCAAGCTAATTTCCTGCACCACACAATGTGCATGTTAGAGTGCAGCTGATATGCATGTATATACAAATGAAATGATTATTACATATGAAATTCTCTTGCGCTTTCTCTAGATTATCAGGATTGGAGTGCTCTAAGAAATTGCAGAAAGGTCTCAATAACTAGTAACCATGGAATATCAATGTGGTTCGTTGTTAAGAAGAAACTAAGCATGATTATAGAGAAGCTAATGAGATGACAGATGGCATGCTAAGCAGGGTGTTTCTTTATTGAGCTTGACTATTTCTGAAAAGCTGATTTCTGTGATGCCTTGTAGTTTCCTTCTTTTCTTTTTGATCAATAATATAAGTAATATTGCCCCCCAAAAAAGAAAAGAAATTAATTATGTATAAGCACGGTTGATGAACTTCAAAAATTATTATTTTATTTGAATTGAATATGTTATAATCAACTGTTAATGGAGGACGCCTTCTAGTTAAGGATATGAAGAATACAAAGTGTGAAGCCTACAATCATTGAAGTTTGACCCCACATACTATGTGTCATTGGTAATAACATAAATAAATAAAAAATAAAAAAATATCCTTGGACCAGGCGTTTTGCTAATTTGACACCATAATAAAGGTAAGGAAAATGGTTTGATAGGGCTGCAGCCCTATCAAAGATGATTGAAGCCTTACCTCAAAGCTCATTGGAAATTGTAATTTTGGCATCGAAAAACTTTCAAATAGCCTTGATGGTTGTGAAAAATTAAAGATTTGTACTATTTTTTGAGCTTCAAATTTCTTAGTTAATGTTGGAAATTGATTTTAAAGCTAAATGGACATATTTCAATACTCGAGCTTTTGGGATGGACATTCAAGATGAGCCTTTACTTTATTTTCATAAAGCCTCGGCCTTATAGAAACTGCATCTATTTAATAATTTATATAATAGTGGTTTCTGAAGGTCTTGGAAAATTAAGTAGAATGGGGGACTTCATGCATATAAAGGCTTCCCAAACAATCACTAAACAATGGTATACTTAGAAGGATTGATTAACGGTATAGCACAACACTGCATGCGTTGTGCAGGTCAAGCCTTAGGACAGCATAAAACGAAGAAAAGAAGGAAAAAGGGTTTAGAAATCCAAGGAGATTAAAAGACCTTGGCATTGAAGTGGAGTCGCGAGGTTACACTTGGCAGGGAGCTGCATGGCAAGGTCGGGGTCGATTCCGAAATAGGGGAGGAGGAGAGAGTCTCGATAGGAGCACAAACACCCAAGGTCGGCTGAACCTAGAGCCTTGCAACACGCTTTAGATGGGTCAGTGGGCGAGGGCGGGGAATCACTCACAGAGGGCTGGCACGCCTTGAATCCGTCTTGGCTCATCCCGCATATCTGTGCCTTGGATTCAACAACCAATGCCAAGAACACCACCACCACCATACAGGCCGGACCACTGCACGTCACCTTAGCCATCTTTGCAGTCTCCCTCTCTCTCTCTTATTTTTCTAGTTTTGAGGTATTAGAAGGGAATGCTTTGTTATATAAGAAGGGAAGGAGGTTTTGTGGCCATAATTAGGAGTTTGCGTGGTGAATGAAGAGGGAATCATTTGTTATCTCTTTTATGTAAAAGAATGATTTGTTATATGAGGGAATGAGGTTTTGTGGCCATATATAGGGTGCCCGTGACTTGCACACCGGGGGGAAGATTTGTGTGGTTGCAACATTCTGTCACGGGTTCAACAGGAAAATGTCATAAATCGACTCGGAATGGATGAGGCTTTATTATTATTTTTTTTGTTGTCTTGCCCTTTGTCTTACTAATATTCCTTTCTCGTGTATCTTGTGTCCAACAAAAATTCTTCTCTCCACCGTGATCCTAAAAACGTGTAAATAAGATTAGGAAAATTGTTTCATGAGTTGCAAGAGCCCGCTGATTTACAAACGTCCATCATAAAGATGGACTTTATCTAAAGCGTATTGTCTATAAATAAGGTAAGGCCTGTGCAATAAAAAAAAAAAACTAAAAATTATATTTCTAATTTTGGAAGTTAATTTTTCTTTTCATATTTATGATCATCTGACCAATGAATCTACAAAAAGCAATTAAAAAAAGGGTGCAGTTGGCATACGGATGCATCCGTAGCTGTAGAGGTAAGTTGCGCCTTCAAATTTTATCATGGTATATAATTTTGATGTAAAATGTTCTTAGGATTATCTCAAAATCTATTTTTATATCTAATTATAAAATTTTAAGTTTCAAAAATGATTAAAATCAAGTAGATCTATAAACATATGAAAATCTTGAAAATGGACGGTATAGATAATATGTTGTAAAATACACTATTTCTAAGACTTAAAATCCTTTTACTTTTCATGATCACACATCTCGATGTCGAGATGATCAATCAAAGGGTTTTTCAACATTAAAACTACCTTTTCCGATGGATTTTTTAGGTGCCTCCGTAGTTTTTTCCGATGGATTTTTTAGGTGCCTCCGTAGTTCTACATTATAAGGTTGCATCCTAATATAAACCTTTTCCTTAAAAAAAAATCATCTAAAATGAATTTTTGTGTGAGGGCCTGTAGATGTACATATGAGTCGACCAACTCATAGAATCCCCATCCATAAGATTATATTGACAAATAATGCAAAAAGGCTAGAATCAATATCTTAAAACCCAGACATGGTTTTGAATGGCCCATGGATTTGTGGCCATCTAAAAACGATTAGCTTTGTTACCTATATTCTTTCATTCCATCCCCATCACTTTTCAGTGGAAGTTTTAAGTTGAAGTGCTCATAGAGCAGTTAATGACATGTTATGATGAGCGTGCTCTTGAAGTAGGCTGAGTCATCAGCACCATGTGTTTTGAAGCTGGCCGTCAGAGTGCACTTATGCAGCGTAGGACTCTAGCTTGGTTTTGTGGTTAAAGGCAGATGCTTGTAGTGTACCATTGATCCAAGATTGCATCTGCTGGACTGGGTTCTTGGATACCGCATTGATTCTGGTTGTGTCACGTGGTGGTTAAAATTCATCAGCCAATTGATGTATAAACTATTGCATAGACAATGGCCTTTAGCTCTACACTTTCATTCTTCATGGCATGCATGAAGTCCATATTGACCTAGTATAGGCGAGAATTGTGGACTTTCCATGCCGTTTGGATGTGCTCAACAGAGACCCTTCACCACCAATTGTAGTTATCAAGATTGAAATGAACAACCCAGTCCAAAGCAGAAATTAGCAAAACCAATCCTGACTAGTTTTGGCCGTTTGAATTAGATAGTTTGGACCGATCAGACAAGTTAAACAAAATTGGATATCTATTTATTGAACTATGTTTTATTTTAAAACTGTTATTTGTTGGAAAATGTCGCCAATAAGGCTTTTTTGCTTAGGAATTTTTAATAATGGTATAAAAGTCATATTATATGAAACTTCATGTGGTTAACATGAGGCAACACCAGTCCAAAGAAGAAATTGGCAAAACCAATCTTGACTAGTTTTGGCCGTTTCAATTAGTTAGCTTTGACCGATCGGACAAGTTAAACAAAATTGGATATCTATTTATTGAACTATATTTTATTTTAAAATTGTTATTTGTTGGAAAATGTCACCTATAAGGCTCTTTCTCTTAGGAATTTTTAAAAATGGTATGGAAGTCATATTATGTCAAACTCCATATGGTTAACATGAGGCAACACCATATACTTAAACCCATTTTTTAGTTTTAATGAGATATAGCATTGAAAGGAAAATCCAGTATCACTAGATGGAAAACCTAGTGGTCGTTGGATTATGACATTCCGTGAGTAAATTGTTTTCGTATGTTATGGATATACAAAAGTATATTAAATTTCTAAGTACCTTTTATCACATTGTGGGAATGTTTGGAAGACATCTTATTATGTGAGCTATTAATAGACTAGTGATATGTTTAGCTCACAATATAAGATTAAGAGTTTGGTGACAAGTTGTTTAATCCCAACTAGCTTTTCTTAATGGATTTAAGGTAGGAGTTACATTTGCAACTCAACTCCTATAGATCAGTAATGTAATAGCCACATATTTATATGTTCTCTATGGTTAGCCCCTCAAGAAAGAAATAACAGAAATGATGAAAGAGAAACATGGAGGGTAAATCTCATTAGTCAAAGGTACTTCTCTATATGCATGCCGCTTGATAGCTTGGTCTATAGGATTTGATATGAAACATTAAGTCCCTCGTGTGATTTAAAGACAAACCCAAGTAAGTTATTTATTGATATCATTTTTTTATATTTCAATATTTTATAGTATTATTTTTATATTATACTTTATTTTTTCTTGTCCAACTGCTTTTTAGTGTTGGTCGAACCACTAGAGAATTTAAAAGCATTTCCCTTCATGCCAAAGCATTTAGCACATCATTTGCCTCCCTAAGGGTAAAACAAGATCTCCATCCCACAACAAATATTCAAAACCTGAAGCCAATAAGACAGAAGAGACCACAGAGGTCTACCAAATTCATTTCCTCCCTAACAATCACAACAGGGAACCTCCCATCCTCTTTCTTGTACTTCTCTTCCATGCTCTTCGACATGGAATATAATTAAATCTCCCTTGGGCACGTTTGGGCATACAAATTTTGGGGCTTGGATTTTTAATTTCTTAGATTAATAATGAAATCTACAATTTAGTTTGCTCAATGTTTAGGATAATAAAATTCAATGTAAATTAAATCTTGAAAAATCACCTAACTTTTCTACGATTTCATTTCCACACCAAAACTTTTTTTTTTAATTTCCAAGGCCCATGGATTTCACTCATCGCCCCTCTAGACTCGAAACATAGGGCACATATGATAAGTGTGAAAATTTTAGAGAGTGAAAACACCTAAAATTTTTTAAACAGAGAAATTATCTCAAAATTTTTAAAGAGAGTTTCTCTCGCAAGTTTTAACTTTTAGAGAGAGAATGTATGTTAAATTTTAGAATGAGAAAGTATGTTAAAATTTTAAAAAGAGAAACTGTATCAAAATTTAGAGAGAAAGTACCAAAATTTTTTTCAGAGACAAACTATCTAAAAAATTTCAAAGGGAAAGAAACTATCTCAAATTTTAAGTTTTAGAAAGAGAAACTATATCAAATTTTAGAAGGAGAAAATACATGAATATCTTTTGTGAGAGAAACTGTCTCAAATTTTTTAGAGAAATACTATCTCAAATTTAAAGTTTTAAAGATAGATCATGTTAAAATTTTAGAGAGAGAAACTGTATCAAATTTTAGAGAGAGTACCTGAAAATATTTAGAGAGAAATTATCTCAAATTTTTTAGAGAGAGAAGGCATCTAAAATCTTAAGTATAGATAGAGAAGTATATTAAAAAAATTTAGATAGAAACTATATCAAATTTTAGAGAGGAAAACTACCTAAATTTTTTTTTACAGAGAATCTCAAGGTTTTTAGAGAGAGAAACTATATTAAATTTTATATTGTTTTGAGAGAAAGTATATTAAAATTTTAGAGATAGAAACCATATCATTATTAGAGATAGAAACTACCTAAAAATTTATCGAGAAAGAAACTATCTCAAAAATTTTAGGGAGAAAAACTATATCAAATTTTAGAGAGAAAGTACCTAAAAGTTTTTGATAGAAAAACTATATCAAAATTTAGAGAAAGCTCCTAAAACATTTTAGAGCTAGATACTGAAAAAAAAATTAGAGAGAAAAACTATCCGAAATCTTACGTTTCACAGTATTCTAAAAATTTTAGAGAGAGAAGTTATAATAAATTTTAGAAATGGAAACTGTCAGACAATTTTTAGAGTGAGAAACTATCTTAAATTGTTTAGAGACAAAAACTATATTAAATTTTAGATAGAGAAAGTAGCTGAATCTTTTGGAGAGAGAAACTATCTCAAAATTTAAGAGAGATAAACTTTCTCAAATTTTATGTTTTAGAAAGAAAAAGTATGTTAGACTTTACAGAAAAAAAGTATGTTAAACTTTAGAGAGAAACTATATAAAATTTTAAATAGAGAAAATGTCCCAAAATTTTAGAGAGAGAAAATACTTCAAATTTTAAGTTTTAGAGAGAGAGAAAGCATCTTAAAATTTTAGAGGGAGTACCTGTATCAAATTTTAGAGAGAGAAAGTACCTAAAAAGTTTTAGAGAGAGAAACTACATCATATTTTAGAGAGAGAATCTACGAGAGAAACTATCTCAATTTATTAGAGAGGGAAACTATCTCCATTAAAAGTTTTAGAAAGAGAGTATCTTAACATTTTAGAGAGAGAATGCACTTGAAAATTTTAGAGAGAGAATGCACTTGAAAATTTTAGACATAGAAACTATCTCAAAATTTTAAGAGAAAGACTATTCCAAATTTTATGTTTTGGAGAGAAAGTACAAATTGCAGAGAAAGAAAGAATATCAAATGTTAGAGAGATAAACTATCTTAAAAGTTTTGTAAAGAGACTATTCCAAATTTTGAGTTCTAGAGAGAGAAAGCATATTACAAATGTACAGAGAGAAATTGTATCAAATTTTGTTTGCAAACCATGGACATGGAAATGATTGTAAGAAATTTATCAATTTTGAAAAGTTTATCCAAACAAGAGTTTTGAG